TACAATTTTAAGGTTTTTTTTTTTACTTTTTTTGTTATTCTCTCTATTTCTATTCAAAATTTAGGTCACAATATTGGTTTCTTTGGTCATTTTTCAAAAGAGATAAGTATGTGTTTATTTGGCATATGTTAAAATGTAGTTTATGAATGCGGTTGTACAGTTTTTGTTTTTTATCATCAGCATCATATTGTTTTAATTTATTACAAATGTTTAGTGCACATTTTTGTGACATTTTAATTTGGAACTCAATTAAATTTTATAAAAAATGGAACATAGTTTTTATTTTTTCATCACATATTGATATATATATTTTTTTTTTTTTGCATGCCAAGAATGTCGTTGAGATTTGAAATATTCAACGGAATATTATAGAAAAAAACTATGGTTTTAGACTGTGTCACAAATGATTTTCAAGGAGTCTTTTAACCAGAGCGTTAAGTGCTTTTAGGGTGTATCCGATCGTCAATTTCAAAACAATTCGTCTTTAAACAAATTATTGTGCAGTACAGAAAAAATCTGATCCACCTATTGACTAAAGACACAGGGACTTACGCAGGGTGGGTCATTGTCCCCTCCTAAATAGATACTTTTCTGTCATTTTTGTATATTTTAAAGAAAAAAAGCCAATCGTTTGAGATTGTTTCGAAGTGCATTTCTGTGTACGTCGCTGATATTCAGGATTTAAACTTTAGTTTTCCATTACATTGTGGTAGCCTAATAGTGGTAGCCTTTTATGAGCGACCCTATGAATATCGATGGCAGTGAGCAATGGTTCGACAAAACGTTCGTTGATTATTGGTAACAGCGGAATCTTTTAAAGTAACTTTTATGTTCAATTTTTTGGATTTTTGGTGAGAATTTTTCAGAAAAAAAAAATATTCGTTATGGAATTCAAGGGAGATGGTGTGATTTCTTTATATTTGGCTGAAAACCACAAGTGGCTATCGTTAGAGCACTCCATCTTCCATCTTTTGTCTCGTACCATCGCTCGTTACCGTAATACTGGTAGCGTAGCCCGACGTCATAGTAGTGGACGGAAGAAAAAAGCAACATCAGCAGAAATGATAATGATGATAAAGAAGCGACTTAATCGAAACCCGCGTCGCAGTGGCCGAAAAATGGATCGTGAGCTGAATATATCGCAATATTTTGCCGATTGAATAGGGTAAGTGTACCAGTAGTCGGCACTTTTAGGATTTTCGCGTTTTTAATAGCTCACCATTCTGAGTGGAACTTTTCAATTATTACAAAGTTTATTTATTTAGATTCGAAATTTTGTATAGTTTTTGCAATAATAAATAAAGTTTTAATAACTTTTTATTAAATTTCATAAATTTGTAGTTTTATTAAAACAATGCTTTTTTGCCAGTAGTCGGCACCACTTGCCAATTGTCGGTATGGCATGTTCCAACAGTCGGCATACCAATTTTTTTGTAAGAATAATTAATAATAATAAATTAATTTAGTTAAACTGATTCGACGTCTTTATTGTACTTTTCTTAAGAATATGGATTGTTGAGGACCTTCACAGACAAACATTTAATTTTTATTAGAATAAATCATTTTTTCTTAGCGAAATTGTACACAAAGATAGCTGACAATATATTTGAAGTAAACAAAATACATTTAGTTATAAAAGTTTCATTTATATGGGCTTAAAAATAAAAAGTGCCGACTACTGGGACAAGCCGAACTTAGGCACACTTACCCTATTCAGCCATTGAAATTCCAAAAAGTGCAAGAATTTGAGATGGTGCGGCCTAAAAATGCCGTGTATCAAATTTGGATATCACAATTTACTCCAATTTGTTGTAAAAAATGCACCAACCATGCTACGTTTAACCAACTGATATTAACTTCACATCTTGTGTTCAAATTTCGATAAAAAATAAAGTCCATTCAATATGAACAAAATCTGTTTTGATATTACTATAGATTCTTTATATATGTCCCATCCGATTTCTCATAAGCACTTTCAAAGTCGTAGGTCTCTATAGCACTGATATTTGTTACTATAAATTGTATATGTCAAATTCGATGTTAATTGTTTCAAATTAATAGGTAGTCCCACATACACAATGTCCAATTCAAATTTCAATTTAGTCCGCGCTAAAGCCATACTACTCACTCAAAAACGAGCATAATATGTATGATTCACTTTGCACAAATTCCCAATGCAAACGTATGTTTGTTATGAGAAACACTACCTACCTACCTTTTGTCCTCCCTTACCAATTTTTAATTTATTTCAATTTAATGACAGTATATTAAAAATCATGCTAAACATCAAACTTCGGTAAAACAAGTAAGCAAACGCTATAGTCGTGCGAAGCCGATCATGTGATACCTTACAACACCCGTTATGCCCAAACGCATTTTGGAAGATTTCGTTTTTGAAATGATGTCATAGAGCCCTATCCAAATGTTACCCTTAGCTCTATGGCCGGGGCCATTTGCCCTGTATTTACGCTCTCGGTCGTGCTGATAGATATTCAAAACCATTTCACACAAAAGTTGTGGTCCATTTTACTTGCTAAATATAATCCAAAGGTCATCCTGCCCTCATCTCTCTTCTCATGCAGAATTCCGTGTTTATTGGTTTTCAATTGTGACCTGGAGACCGACTGCAATATCAGGAAAGATTTTTTTTTTGGTACATTTGAACCACTACATGTGCAACTTCATAAACAATAGGCTTTAATTTTGTAATCCATGTCAAATTTCATGAGGATCGGACGTTAATTTCGACCTGTATATAATACCTTCAACACATAGTTTTGCGGGGTGTAGGAAAAGTTTAGAAAATGTACAATTCAAAAGTCAAAATTTAGAAAATCGCATGCGATAAAAAATATGGCAAACTTTAAAAATAGAAAATTAACTTTTTATTGTCTTATATTCCCTTTCCTGGAAAAAGACCATTCCGAATTGATGAGAATTGTAAAAATCAGTCCTGCAGTTCTTGACGTATAAGGAGAATAAATAAGGTATAGGGTAAGTGTACCAGTAGTCGGCATTTTAGGATTTTCGCGTTTTTAATCGTTCATCATTCTGAGTGGAACATTTCAATTATTACAAAGTTAATTTATTCAGATTCCAAATTTTGTATAGTTTTTGCAATAATAAATAAAGTTTTAATAACTTTTTATTAAATTTCATAAATTTGTAGTTTTATTAAAACAATGCTTTTTTGCCAGTAGTCGGCACCACTTGCTAATTGTCGATATGGCACGTTCCAACAGTCGGCATACCAATTATTTTGCAAGAATAATTGATAATAATAATAAATTGATTCATTAAAATATAATATTTTTGTTTAGTTAAACTGATTCGACGTCTTTATTGCACTTTTCTTAAGAATATGAATTTTTGAGGACCCTCACAGACAAAAATTTAATTTTTATTAGAATAATTCATCTTTTCTTAGCGAAATTGTGCACTAATATAGCTGACAATATATTTGAAGTAAAAAAATACATTTAGTTAAAATAGTTTCATTTATTTGGGCTTAAAAATGAAAAGTGCCGACTACTGGGACATGCCGAACTTACCCTATTTATTTTACATATATATTGTACCTATTTTGCTATACATCCGATATCAGCATCACTGTAATGATTAGAGGTGGCCGTTTAATGTATTTGGGATTTTACCCGCTAAATATTATCCGATGACCGTCCAAATTGGCAGGATTCTGCCCAGCCCTAAACTCTTATAATTGTGGTCGTGGAGCAACAGAAAATGTAGGAAATTTTTCTGTTTTGGTCAATTATAACCCCTAAATAATTTGCGATTATCTCCAAAAACAATTGGACCCTAACCTCCATTTTTAGTTTCGTGAGGATCGGGCCATAATTGCAACCAGACGGACATACATATCTAGATCGACTCAGCTCGGCGAGATAGGAAGTTCCATATACAGTTTCCTATGTCGGGGGCGAATATTTCGGGGTGTTACATAATTGTTGGCAAATCAATTCCCCCAACACATAGTGTTGCAGAGTATAAAAATTACATTTTATATTTAGCTTAACAACATTTCCATATTCAACAAATTTTCTCATAATTCTTTTGTCCTGGATGTAATTCTTTTCAAACATGTTAGATGGCTTAAACAGTACTCAAAAAGTAATTCCTTTACATACCATCGTTTTCCCCTTAACACAGTCATTGTATAGATATCCATATGTGGGTAATGTTTTATGCATATTTATTAAATACCTTCATTTTTTGTGAAGACAATTAAAACTCTCCGGAAAAAAATACAGTCATTCATATGAAATGTTACATGTGAATGGTGTTTGTTTAAATTTAACAAGTTTTACACACATTTACGGATATTTGATTAAATGCAAATGGACGTAAGTAATAAAAATCACTTAATTCAGTTGAAGGAGTCTCTAACCTGGAAACGGATTTTTGTTCTTGGAAAATGTGAAATGAAAAAAATTCTTTATACAACATTTTCCATTGACATTTATGTACCACTTGAAAGGTATAACAAGAAATATTCCTCAGCTGACATGTCTGTAGAATATTTGAAATTTTCTTGTTTAGCTACTAATTTATTTTGCAAATAATTCTCAACGTGCTTTACAAACATTTGTAAATCTTGTTTGTGTGTGTGTGTGTGCTTTTTTTAAATTCATGCAACGTTTTCATATTCGCCATCGCCGGTACCTTCTTCCATTGCCAAGGAAATATTTTCATTTTAATTAAAATTCCACTGCAATAATGAATGTTTAAATATTTGCCTGAGAAAATATGAACACTTTAACAATTTGTTTCGTTTCATTCTGCTCTTGTTCTTGTTCTCGTTCCATGGAAATGCCTCTGTTTTCCATTCTTCTTTTATTTTTGAATTTCCATTGTCTTGAGCTCCCACAGTACATAACTACACACACATGCATTTATGTATGTACGTGTGTTAACATTTGTATTCTTTTGTTAATCATTTGTATAATAGTTGTTGTTTTTTTTTCCCCTTCTTCTCTTTGCAGTTTAGTTTAGTCTTAGCTGGTAATGAATTGTGGCCCATGGAGAGGCCGGAAGGTATGCCAAACATAGTCTCATTAGAAGTGATGTGCGGTAAGGATCACATGGATGTTCATTTAACATTTTCACATCCATTTGAGGGTATTGTTAGTTCAAAGGGTAAGTGTTAACTTTATTTATCCATACAAAGCTGTTGATGCTGCTTGTTGGAAGAAGAAGAAGAAGAATAAGAATTGGATTGAATTGAATTGTATTGGTTGAGCAAATAATAATGGCATATTTTTTATTCTCATTCTTTTTTTTAACTTTCTTTTACTGAAAACTAAAGGTCAACACAGTGATCCACGTTGCGTTTATGTACCTCCATCGACGGGTAAAACATTCTTTTCATTTAGGATATCGTATTCGAGATGTGGTACAAAACCAGATTTAAATGGACAATTTTATGAAAATACTGTAAGTAGAACCAAAATAATTAAGATCAAATAAAAAGCAGCAGAAAGTGCAAAAGGTACGAAAACCACACTCTTCGAACTTGAAGATCACAAAGCCTTATACAAAAAAGACCAGGACTTCTTCAAAAATTGTATGATCCTCTATATACACATCACACTTTATTGTACACAATACTTCAATAGGGGAGAATAGTCTTGGCAGAACACCCAGATATCTTCTTCCTCGAAGACTTCTCCACAGGAGACCTCTAGGTCTCCGCAGATGACCTGTAGGTCTCCACAGAAGAGCTGGAGGTTTCCACAGAAGACATGGATGACTCTTCCATATAAGTCTTCTTGATAGACAACCTGGAGGTCTTCTTGATAGAAGAGCTGGAAGTCTTCTTGATAGAAGACCTGGAAGTCTTCTTGATAGAAGATGTGGAGGTCTTCTCTGTTGAATACCTGTAGGTCTTCTCCATTGAAGATGTTGAAGGTCTGTTCTACAATGGTTTCAGGAAATCAAGCAGTCTAGCGGGTTTTTGAACTGATTCCATTTTCTTTATAAAATTGGACCCCAGTGTTGTTCTATTCAACGAACATGTTGCGTTTCACTAACTGTTTCAGTGTATAAAAACAACATAACATCGATATATCCCGAAATCCCCTTAGGATAATGAAACAATATTTCTTGAATTGTTTAACTTAAAAATCATTTAACATCAGTTAAGAGCGTTACAATATTGAAACATAAAATTAAACTAAATGATGCTGATGATTGTAATCGGTCATGTTTTTTTTTTTGAAAATGTAATTGTCCAAATGACGCCCTTTAGCAATCAATAAACTGCAGAGTCTCTTTGTTGATTAAATTGAATGGTTGGTGATAAATTTTTCTTGACTCCCATTGACCATTGTCAGTATGTCTCTCTTTTTGTCCGTCTGTCCATTTATTTGCCATAAAAGCTCCACAAAGATTTTCAGGAGAAGATATCTCCATCTTTTTTCGTGTTTCATTTTCGTTTTACTCAGAGAAGCCCCTCACTGTAATACTTTTCCTTGAAATGAAATAGATGCATGAACGTTCAGTGGTTTATTTGCATTGTGGAAGTGTACAATTTTATGATGCTGTTGATGTTGGTGATGATGAGGTTGGTTGGTGGGTCGGTCGTTAAATCCTACGGTCGGTTAGTCGAAATTCGACAAGCAAACATTGATGGACAACAGCAAACAAGTGACAGTTACAGAAAATGAGACTTATTGTGAATGTGGCTTTTATGAACATTATATCCTCATAACATATATTTGACAATTGCAGGGACGGGTTGTAACATCACGGCTGATGAAAACTTTTCTTGGAATCCTTACGTTTTTGGTATATATTGCTTTCGGTATAAAACAGAATTATCAATTCTTGAGTTGCAGTAGCATCCAATCAATCAATCCATTTCTAAGCATAGAAAATTGTTTAAGTCTTAATGTGCACCCAATTCCACTGGTATTTAATGTAGTGCCATATATAATATTTCCTCTTTCAAAATTCAAACAACATCACATTCCACCCCCTTTTTCATATTTCCAGCTCTTCCACGACACTATGAATTCTACACCACCACAGTGACCTTAGAACCAAAATTCACAATTCCTGTGCTTTTCCTACACTTGATACCAAATTAAGTACCTTTCCAAAATTCATAATTCCAGCTCTGTTCTTGCACTTTACACTAAATTTAATAATTTTCATACACCAGATAGTACTTATTTTCAAACCAGAGATGGGCATAATGACTATATTTTTAGTGCACTAATAATTTCACTATCACTACTCATTTAGTTGTAGTGTAAATTTTTAATTCACTGCCAACAAAGGGTTAGTGGTAGTGTAATTTCAATGGTACTACCACTAAATTTAGTGGCATTTAAAAAAAAATGACAAATTGATTTCAGATATACTCGGGAATTCAATATATGGCTGTTCAGGTGCAATTAATGATCGTGAATTTGATTTTTACGTAGGTTGGAAATATTACCGATGCTGACTCTCATTTTGAAGTGTAGGCGATTGGGGATCTTCCACTTGACGATTTGAAGATAATAAGGAACTCTGATGAATGGATTTCGGGTGTCCGGGGACTATGATCACTATATTCGAGTTGAAGGCAATTAGAATATAATCGTGAACTCTGATGAATGTTACGATGTGATTATGATAATCGGGCTGTAATCGATTAGAAGATAATCTGGAACTCTGAAGAATAAACTTCGGATGTTGACGGTCGGTTTGTAGACGATTCCGCTGCTCGGGAACTCAGATTGGCGCTTGGACGTTAGTTTGTCGGGCTATGACGACTTATACGTTACTACTCTATATTTCGGTTAGGACTGCAAATCCGAAGTTCCAATGGCAATGTAACAAAATCCACTCAAGTTAATCAGCCCGCCAAAAAGAAAATCCCCGCAAACAGTTCCTGGCTGCCGGAGAACAGTGAATGATTGGAAAATCACCACGAAACCTTTAACTAAACGAAAACTATTTATGTCACCACCATATCAATGTCAATGCAAATTATTTCGCATGCGTTGTTATGATGATAGTATATGTATCTTTATCGCTATATGACGATGGTGGATGTGTGGATTGGTTGATTTGTTCGTCGGTTCATTAAGTTGCTTGAGTTGGACGTTGGCATGATGGGCTATGTTTTGTTATTGTTGTAAGAGTTCAGTGTGGTGTGGTCGATTATGGCTGCTATTGAGTGTTGATGGTATTGGTTCCTATTGCGGGGTGGTTGGTCATTGTTGGAGCGTACTTGTATGTAGGTACGTGATCGCTTCTGTCACCAAGTTTTTCTCATTTTCAACAGACCCTATTGTCTAAATCCTTCATACTCGCTAAAAAATTCAATCTCTATTCCTACACTCTATACCAAATTTAGTGCGTTTAGTACACTATACAGTGCGCATTTCCAAAAACACGGCATTAACTACATCATACACACCCATAATGGTCTGTATACCAACACATTAAATATTCTCTTTACCAAGTGTTATACTTTTCCAAATTAGCTACCATTTGGCAAGATTTGCATACTTTAGTACGCATTTTCCTATATATTCAAATCACATTGTTAAATAATTAAAATGTTTTGTTTAATAGAGTTTAAATTTAATTAATATAAAATTTCATAATTTACGCCAGTATAAAAGTTCAGAGCTCTAGCATCTTCCTATTGCTCAATATAAACATTGCCGTGGTAGTACTTCTCAGTATACGTATAGTTCGAATTTCCGAAAACCCAGCCGTATCTTGCCCATATGCACAAACATTGACCTACAGGCAAAATTTCAAGATTCTAGCTTCGGCCTTTTCGCCGGGGCCCAAATGAACCAGTCAGTTACTTATCGCTATACCCTTTTATATATAAAAAGGTTTAGAGGCTTAATTAATAAATTTGCAAACTAAAAATGACAAAAAAAAAAAAATGTCATAAATTCCTTACTTCCATCTCTGATGCCATAACATTGCAGAATATTGAAACTGAACAAACTGATGATGAGGTTACTGCAGTATCTACTTTTACAACTGCCAGTGGTCGAAAGTAGATCTCTGTTGTTATTCCTGTTGCTGTCTGTCTCTCTGCTTGTTTTGGTCACGGTGCTGATACTTATTCCTGGTGTTGTTGTTGTTGTTATTGTTCATTGTACTACAACTGTGTTCATTTTATTGTTTACATGTGAATTTCTGTTTATAATAATTTTGTTTGCTTTTCATTTTCTTAATATTCATTTTTTGTTGATGTTGTTTTTGTGGTCCGAATATCTTGCAGGTGGTCGTGCAATATGACAAAGATCTACTGGAAGTTTGGGATGAAGCGAAACGTTTACGCTGTGAATGGTTTAACGATTATGAGAAAACAGCATCAAAACCGCCAATGGTAATTGCTGATCTGGACGTAATACAATTGGATTTCAGAGGTGGGTTCGGAAACAGGAACACACTCGTACAAACATACTCTACATACTTTTGGTTGGCACATGCACTTGGTGTGGTTTTGTCATGTGACGTGTGGCGTTTTTGCCATAAACATGGCCAGCATCATATCTTGGCTATGGTTATTATACTGGAGCTGAGGAAAGGAAATGTTCAAGTTGCATTGTAAAATAATTAAAATGTTTTGCTTAAGAGAGATTAAATTTAATTAAAGCACAGAACAAATGATTTTATGGTGCATTTCCAATTTTATGATGCTGATCTTTCTTTTCCCCGTCATAGCTATTAAAAAACTGTTTTTTTTTTTATAGGTGACAATGTCGATTGTTGGATGGAAATACAGCATGGACGTGGCCCTTGGGCACCACCTGTTAGTGGAATTGTACCATTGGGATCTACTCTCACCTTGGTGGTGGCCATCAATGACTATCGTGGTAAGTAATTTTCAGTGTGTGGTATTGAGATCTAGCATCCCAAAGTTTTCTTTGATCCTGACGAGTTAAATATTCAGGGAAAAATTCTTGGGCGGCCATAAGTAGTTTAACTAAAACTCAATATTCAGAGACAATAACTAAAGATTTTTACGGCATTTTTATACCCTACAACACTATGTGTTGGGGGTATTATAAGTTTGATTGGACCAAAAATTATGTAACACCTCGAAATATTGGTTTCCCACATAGGAAAGTATATATGGATCTTCCTATCTCGCCGAGCTGAGTCGATCTAGCTATGTATGTCCGTCCGTCCGTCTGTCCATGTTAATTTGTAATCACTCTACAGGTCGCAATCCGATCTTCACGAAATTTAGAATGGAGGTGGGGTTTGGCCAGAATAGAACCCTATTTCTATTGGAGATGATCTCATCATATTTAGGGGGTGAAATGGACCAAATACTAAAAAAATTCCTGATTTTGCAGTTGCTCTACAGGTCGCAGTTATAGACCAATCGAAGCGGAAGTTAGCATGTGGCTAGAACTTAAGGCTGGGCAGAAGTCTTCCAATTTTGATAGTAATCTGGTAATATTTAGTGGGTGAAAAGGCCATAACACTTTTGGTTAATAAAATCAAATTTTCCATTAAATCGCAAATATTTTTAATCCCGGCGAAATCACAAATGGACGAACAGGTCAATCCTGACCGTTAAGTAGATGCCGATAGTAAATATATCGGATATATATAGCGAGATATGTACAACACATATATACAAAGGAAGGGGATGCTAGCTAAAATGCTTATATCTCAAGAATGGCTGGACCGATTTTGACAAATTTTGTCAATTCAGAATGCCCTCTTGGCATAAGAGAATAAAATCTAAAAAAATCGCATAAAAATGTGCCAATAATGGTGTTATTATAGATTTTGTAGCATTTTGTGATATTTTTTTTTATTTTTTCATATTTTTCATCGCATGCGATTTTTTCAATTTGACTTATAATATTGAAATGTGTATTTTGTAAAATTTTTTCACCTTACAACACAGATTTGAATTATCGTCCGATCTTCACGAAAATTTTCACAAGGGTAGGGTTAGGCTCAGAAGAATTATTGTTTTCAAAGATGACCGCAATATATTTAGGGGTTGAAATGGACCAACCACTAAATATGTTCTTGAATTTGCAGCCGTTATAAGGTCGCAAATAAAAACCATAAGACAGCGGGTAGAATGGACCACTACTTTTCTGTGAAAAAAATACCAACATTACTTTCAGGCGATATCCGAAATACACAAAAGGTGAACTTCTAGCTTTTTTATGCTGATTTCGTTCATGAATATAGCCAAATATCGTAGACAAGCAAATCGTATAGATGGGTCTAAATTTGTAGATGCAGAACGGCTTCTTGCTTTTGGAGATGATCGCAAAATATTAAGTTGCTTAAAAGAACCAAAACAGAAAAAAAATCCTGATCACACAATTGAAGCCAATCGTCATGCCTGAGAAGAGAGTTAAGGATAGGGAAGAATTCTAGCTTTTTGGATGACCATTGGATTATATTTAGCTGTAAAATGGACCACAACAACTAACAGCACGACGGAGTGCGCAAATGTCCCTGGTCAAAATGGTAAGGGCAACATCTGGGCAGTGCTCCATGACAAAATTTCAAAAGCGAAATCTTCCAAAATGGACTTGGACATAAGGGTGCTTCTAACATATTGTAGTGTTGTATGGTATCACATAGTCGGCCCCGCACGACTATAGCCTTTGCTTACTTGTTTAATAATTATATTCAGATCATGTTAGATACCTCACTTCTATTTATGCTCTTATAATCTGACTTAGTGGTGATCGTTTTATTTCCAAAGCGTTTACGAACTTTGTAAGCTATTAAAATGCTACATTGTAACTGTCTTCGTAGTCTTAGTCTGGTCCATTTGTTATAGCTTTATGTTCCACTTGTTGTGCATCTTAATTGATGTTGTAGTAGTTGTTTCGCGAGCTTGATGTTGTTGTTTAAAAAAAGTACATTATTGCCTTTCACGCTTTCCTTTGAGGCATTGCAATTATTATGCATCGTTAATGTAGCAAATGCCGCCAAAGACAAAGTGATTCGAACACTTCGGGCCATCTCTTCTCACACCCGTGTTGTATCACACCTAAGGCTGTAGATCGTTTATTGAACAGACAGTCTGTCTAGCGGCTAAAATGTATTTAAATGGTAATCAAAATTAAAGCCATTAAACATGAAAAACGTGCATCATACAAGAGGGTTAAACGTCTATACACACGGATAATAGTGTGATAAAATCTTGTTGGAGTAGTAATTTCCACTAGAAAATTTTGTTGATCACGATGGCCATTACATGTTATATAGATATGTGAAGGATGGGACAGCCATAATAATTCTATAAAAATATGTGGACCTTGATTTCAAGCAACGTTCTCTAAAAACGTTTGTAGTCCATCTTACAAGCCTTGAAGTTCAAAAAAAATTATTTTTCATCACTTGTTAGACCTTCTACCTTGAAAAGGAGGGTATATTTACTTTGTCATTCCGTTTGTAACATTCTTTAATATTCGTCGTAGTATATAAATTCATAATCAGCATAAAATTCTAAGTCGATCTAACGATGTCCGCCTGTTGAAATCACGATACAGCTCACATTATTTGACGTAGAGCTACAAAATTTGGCAGGAAAAATTTGTATTGCGTCTAGGATGGTTGGTATATCGGTCCACGTTTTGGTATAGCCGCCATATAACGATACCCACGATACTCGGTATTTTGATAATTTTTGTCACACTTTTCCACGATTTGACCAAAAATTGGTATTTGTAAGTCATAAGTGGTTATAGCTCCGGTGGCGAAACAATGTATGTATAGGTTCACATTTTTGAATAGCCCTCATATAACAGTACCGATATTTCGGTATAATTATGATTTTTGCCACATTTTGCACGGATTTGTTTAAATGTTGGTATTTGTAATTTGTAATGGGTTCTGGCTCCTGTGGCAGAACATAGTACATATGGGTTTACGTTTTGGTATAGCCACCATATAACAGAACCTCCCGATATTCGGTGTTTTGATGATTTTTGCCACATTTTTTCACGAATTTTTCCAAACATTGGTATTTGTAGTTCGTAATGAGTTCTAGCTCCGGTGGCGGAACATAGTATATATAGCTCCTCGTTTTGGTATAGCCCGGTATTTTGATAACCCTAGTCACATTTACCCATGAAATTTTTTTGAAGTTTGGTATTCAAGAAGATTTGGTAGATGACAATCCTTGAAGTATGGTTTTTGAAACGTTTAACAGCATTATCCACAAGCTCTTACTGATATTTGTAGTTTAAAGTGGAACACGTTTGAATTTAGATACTTTTACATGAAAATGTTTTCTTTACCCAATGGTGAAGGGTATTAAAAGTTCGGCAGGACCGAACTTATTGTTTGTTTACTTGGTTTTAACATAAAATTAACTTTTACAATTTGGATTTACAATTTGCAGACAATTCCGTTGAAAAATGAGACGAAAGAAGTTGAATTCTTAAAATGAGCGAGTACCGTTATATGGGGGCTGTGCGAAAAAGTTGTATTGATACAATTTCGGAGGTCTTAGAAGTTCCCTCAAAAAAAAAAAAAAAAAATGTTACAGGCCTCAAACTTTATTCGATAAAATTATGTAACTTTTGGAGCTCACAAAAACTTGTTATAACTATTTGAAAACCCCAGAGAATTTTGAATCTTGGCATTCAATCTTATTTATTTGCCTTGTGATAAAACTTACATTATATTCTAATTTTTTTCTTTTTTTTTTCAGGTGAATTCGACATGCGTGTCAAATCATGTGTAGCTTCTGACGGTTCCGGACATGTCATAAATCTATCCGATGAATTTGGTTGCGTACTACGACCGAAAATGATATCCCGTTTCCTCAAGTCGCGAGCACCCGATGAGCGTGCCACTGTCATAACGTATGCCTTCTTCCATGCCTTCAAATTTCCCGATGCCTTGAGTGTTCACATTAAATGTAAAGTGGAGATATGTCGTCATGGGTGTCTGGATCATTGTCAGTTGGCGGATAACTCGAATGAACGCAAAGACATAATACGCGATGAAAATATGATGAACAAAAATGATTTGTTGCATGAAATGGCAGCAGCACAGCATCACGGAGGTGGTGGTGGCGGTGGAATGATGGGGCCGAATACACATCACAATATGGGTGGAGGTGGTATGGGTGGTCATACTAATGAAGTGGGAATGGGTTCGGTCAGTGGAGGAGGAGTTGGTGGTGGTGGTTCGAATATGCCACCCCATCCTGGCCATGGTCATGGTGATGGCAGCGATCATGATGTCTTCTATGATGATATTATTCACAATCGCAAACAGTTGTCCCAAATCAACAGCGGCATTGCCAATATTTTGGATCATTTCAATAATGTCCATGAAAAGAATGCAAATTTGGCACCCAGACCGGTTCACGAGGATCCTGAGGAACAGGAGTTAGATGACATATTCGGTGAGGAGGAATTAGCCAATTTGGACGATGCTCAATATATGGAACTGAGAAATAGTGGCAAATTCCCACATGGACCCAGACAACTGGCTCAAAAACGTATGGGTGTACCAATGGCTGGACCACGTTCTCTTGAACCCAAAGATGATCGGCCACATCCTGTTTATCGCCCTCAAGCAGAATCTTTAACCCAGACTCGTGACGATCACATAGACTTGGATAAACTGACCAAAGAAGAAGGGGAGGCAAAGGATGGAAATAACTCCAAGGCAGACAATAAGACATCAACGGAAGGAATACCAAGACGTCGACGCCGTTCAATTGTTATCTCGGATCGCAAAGTACGCAGTGCCGATGTGGGTGTAAGTGGGCTGTATGATGTCATTTCCGAGGCTGATTTGGCCTTCTCACCGGATACCAAACAGGAAGCTGTCACCGTTTTCCAAGGAAAAATCACCGAAGAGGTCGTCTATGGTATATGCATGCCTGTGCCAGGTTTTAGTATTCTCTTCATTGTTGTCATCTCAGCCACAATTGTATCAGCTTTGATTGCCGGCTCACTACTCTATCGCTATCAGTTGCAGAAGGAGGCCATGGAGAAGGAAAATCCCATGCCTGTTTACGGCACTTTGGCATCTTGGATGACTCTGCGTATGTTCCGTATGCGACAACAAGCCCAGCAGCAGCATGAACAGAATGCAGCACAAAATGCTGCCGCCGTTGCGGCAGTTCACAATTCTTTGTCGGCGGCTGCAGCAGCCGCCACACTAACACACGAAACCCTGCAATAATTTAAGTTTATAAAAATGTCTAAACGAAACAAACACATATTTAAATACCAGAAAAAGAGAAACAACGACAAATATTGACTGAATACTAAAAAGACAAAAAGAAAGGAACTAACAGAAAACAATCCTTATTTATTTTTTAATTTAATTATACAGCCAAGATCGAACGAAAAGAAAACACATATTTAAAAGAAAGTAAATAAAGTTAAACATAAACGATTTTCGGGCATAATTGCAATAGTTAATTAATTTAATTTTTTATTTATTTATTTTTTTTTTTTTGTTTTAATTTACACCAGCTGCAACTACCACAAAGTAACTTTACGTAAATTGTCCAAATTGATTATATGTATTTTGTTTTAATTTACAAAAGAACATACTATTTATATTTATTGTATTTATTTTATTTTTTGTTTCTAGTTTATAAGCCAACGAACGATTGATCATTCACATCTACATCATCATCAACATCAATCATCATTGACGACATTGAAATATTTTGCGGAATATTTCGTTGTAAAACTTATTTTTGGTGCTTTCCCATGGTGCATTTAGTTAAATCTACACTACAATTTTATCATCATCTCCCCCTCCCTCTCTCTCTTTCTCTCTCTCCACTTCTATACATTGAGCTCCTAAGTTATTCTACTATCATTATAACTATCATCTTATTGTCTTATATTAAGTTTAATTTCAAAATATAATTTATGTTTACAAAATAAATAAAATTACGATGATATTTTGTTTTCATTTTGAAAGGGAAATTTGGAATTTATTAAGGTTTTATTGGGCCAGTTGAAATATTGGTCTTAGACCCACAATATCTTCCTATCTCGCCGAGCTGTGCCTATAGGTCGCATTTATGGTTCGATCTTCATGAAATATTGCATGGATTCAGAATTTGGATTAGAAGCACAATTTTTTGATTTGAAATAAATTTTCATCCAACAGATTTTTTTTCCACCACTTCCATAGTTTTTTGTTGTAGTTTTAGAAGTTCCCTTGGAATTCGTTTTAGGTATGTGGTGTATTCAGGAATATTACTGAGTGCTTCTATTAAAAAACAACTAAGTTCGGCTGGACCGAACTTTTAATCAATACCGCCCAAAGAAAAACCGTTATATGGGGGCTATACGATGACGAGATCCTGCATATACAATTTTTTATCATAGGCAGTACTCGTAGTACTCATTACAAACTTCAAATACGAAAATTAATTCCTGTAAAAAATGTCGCTATCTATTATCCAAATACGGAATATCGAAATATTAGATGGCACAAAGTATATATATTCTTGATCAGCATAACATTCTTTGTCGATTTAACATTGACCGTCCGTCGGTCTGTCCATCTGTGGTTATCACTGTAGCTTCTGAACGAACAGAAGTAGGTTGATAAAATTTTACAAAAATGTGTGTCTCGTCTGCGGGACTTTTGGTATTGGAAATGGGTCAACTTTAGTTATCTCCCCCGTATAATTGTACCTCCCTATATACGGTAATTTTAGCGACATTGATCACCGAAATCGTTTGAAATTTCGTTGTGATAGTTCGTAATGGATACTACAGCCTATGACAGAACATTGCCTACTCAGGTTCAGGTATATAGCCCCATATAACAGTCCCCCCCAAAATTGGGTATGTTGATATCTTTGCGACATTGTTCAGGTGAACATCGGTTCAAAATTAAATATAGCTCCCATATATATCTCTTCATCCGATTTTAGGTTTCTTGTGCACCAAATGACTAATATTAGTCCAAATGGTGTGAATTTCGCTACATCCGACCGAATTTTGCCTACAAGCATGTGCTTCAAATTTGGTGAAAATCGGTTCAGATATAGCTATAGCTCCCATATATATGTTTAATCTGATTTTGGCGTTTAAGTCCCTCACATTCGTTATATGCACTGCACAAGACTGATATTAAGCACCAGATATCAGATACAGCCTAGCAATTCATAGATCAAATTTTATCAAGTTAGGTTCAGATTTGAATGTATATATATATATATATATATATATATATATATATATATATATATATATATATATATACTCATCCGATTTTAGGTCTCTTGTGTGCCAAATGGCTAATATCAATCCAAATGGGGTGAATTTTGGCACTTCCAATCGAATTTAGCATAGAAATAAGTACTTTAAATTTGGTGGAAATCGGTTCAGATATAACAATAGCTCAGATATATATGTTTCATCCGATTTGGTGTTTAAGTCCCACACATTCGTAATATACACCCTGCAAAAATGATATTTAGTACCAGATATTAGATTCAGCCTAGCAATACATGATTCAAATTTTATAAAGATCGGCTCAGATTTGGATATAGCTCCCATATTAATTTCCGATTTCTGGTTTATTGTGCACCAAATTACAAATATTAGTCCAAATGTATTTTCGCACTTCATCCTAATTTAGCATAGGAACAAGAATCTCAAATATGCTCCCACTTCCTCACTTCATCCTAATTTAGCATAGAAACAAGAATCTCAAATATGCTCCCATATAAATGTTTCATTCGATTTGGTGTTTAAATCTCCAACTTTCGGAATATGCACTCTACCATAATCATATTTTGTATCAGACATCTCATAGAGCTCAGTAATGCCCAATATAACCCTTACTTTTACGAGAGCTCTACTAAATATGTGTAGGGTATCATATAGTCGGCACAGACCGACTTTTGAGCTTTCCTTACTGGTTTCTTATTCAGAATGAATAATAGAAAAATTTTAGAGTTCACCAAGGGGGCATCAGTTGAACCATTGCATAATGGACCCACATCTAATTGTTCTTTTTCAACGTCTCAATACCAAAATTAGTACGCATTACCAAATCCATCTCTTTATCTCAAAACTACTAAATTTCAGAATTCCAGTTATATCCCATGACCAATCCCAAGTTTATTACCATACGTTTCGTACCACCATACCACACACCACCTCCTCCTCTCCACCCAGAAATCCATCTCTATCCCATCACCCAATTGCACATTCTGTGTCATTTTGATCTTTTCGTCGTTCGTACACATTTCCAAAAACACCTCATTCTCTCAATCACAGGCACCAACAGTGACATCCATATCAAATTTCAAGATCCCAGGTCTAACCTCAGTTACCTTTATATCAAATTTCCGGATTAAAGCACTTTTATTTCACCCATTACAAAATTTAATACTTTTCAAATACCATCAGAGAACTCAATATCAAGTTTGAGGATTCCAGCCCTATCCCTTCAAAAACTTGTGCAAAACTTCGAGATTCTAACCTTAGCCTATTCGTCTGGGCGTTAATTCTCAGTCGGTCAGTCATGCAGTTATTTTACTACTCTTGTGTATATATTAGCTGAACCCACTTCGCTACCCCTTTTGATTTTATATGCATTCAAAACGCCAAGCGTGCAGGAAACTGCAATCTTTTGAAGTTGAGTGGCATTGCTGTAGCTATTGGAGGGATTCTAGGTAGCAACATAATTCCCCGTAATAGTCGTATCCTCAATTAAATAATTATGTTGTGTTAACTGTTAGCCTAATACCATTGCAAAGGCGTTGTGAATCAATGCTTCTTAATAAATTCATATCCAATCTGAACCAATTTCAATATAATTTGACAAAATTTACGTGTACACCAAATTCCGTCACACCTTCCATATGGATGTACATACCGTCATTGGTGCATCAAATATGTCAAATCGGCCGAAAATATATATATGGGAGCTATACCCAAACCTTAAACGATTTCAACATAATTTGGCAAATTTTTGTTTTGGTACCAAATTTTGTCTCTTAATCGAATTTCATTGGAATCAGACATACATATCGCGTTGGTTGCATCACATATATAAAATCGGCAGAAAATATGCCTGGGAGCTATTTCCAAATCTGGACCGATTTAAGTGTGTATAATTTGACAAATTTATTTTTGTACCAAATTTTTTCACTTACATACATATCGCGTTGGGTGCATCAAATATATAAAATCGGTCGAAAATATATATCCAAATCTGGACCGACTTCAATATAATTTGGCAAAATTATTTTCTGATGAAATCCCGCCACTCATTCTAAATTTCATTAATTTAGATATGGAAATATAGATTTTTTCATTTGGTAATCTGTAGCGAAAATATTGAATACCTGTATGTCACGTTATATATATGGCGGTATATGGAAAAACTTATACCTACATAGGCCATGTTTTGCCACAGTAGGTATAACCCATTACAATCTCTAAATATCGAATTTTAAACAATTCCCTTAGAAATGTGGTTTAAAGCATTAAACTACCGAATATGAGGAGTTAACGTTATAGAAAAACGGGGCCCGATACCTCATTATACCCTACACCACATGGTGGTAAGGGTATTAAGTCTTTGTGTATTTGTTTGAAACATGTAGAAGGAAGCGAGATAGAACCATAGTTACTTTTGAGGGGACGTACGTTTCCATTTTGTGTCTGATCTAAATCCAAATGTGGATAGGTGGTATGTTCTACTTGAAATAAATTTTTTTGTGGTATCATATAGTCGGCCGCGCCCGACTTTTGACTTTTCCTTACTGGTTTTTGATAGCAATCATCCCAGACACAATGGAATCTAATGTATCCAATTCCAAAACTTTACGTTAAATAATATTGGCTGTATATTGATTTGAACAGACAGACGGAAATTAATCGAATTAGAACTTTATGCTGGCTTATCCTTGCAATATCCGATAGATAATTGAATGTGTTAACAAGTAAAAAAGCAGTAAGTTCGGCCGGGCCGAACTTTGAATACCATTTGGAACGAATTAGAAAATTTTCAAAAAAATAAAATCCATTAAAAATTATTTTAAAATCTTTAAAATATCTAATATAGGAAGGTGCCGATATATGGGGGGATATACGATATTGTGAACCTATATAGACAATTCCGTTTCAGGGGTAAAGTGCTCACAAAGAACTCCCTGTGTGGATTTTCTGACAATACGATTGGAAAATGTGGCTAAAATCATCAAAATACCGAATATCGCGGGGTACCGTTATATGGGTGCTATACGTTATCGTTAACCTATATAGAAAATTCTCTGTCGGGGGGTAAAGTGCTCACAAAGAACCCCATGTGTACAAAGAACCCCTTGTGACCATTCCGTTGAAAATATGGCTAAAAACATCAAAATGCCTAATATCGGGGGTACCGTTATATGAGGGCTATACGATATCTCTGCCGAGGTATAAAGTACTCACAAGGAACTACTTGTGTGGATTTTAAGACAATTCCATTGAAAAGCGTGGCTAACATCATCAAAATATCGAATATCGGGGGTACAGTTATATGGGGGAAATACGATATTGTAGACCTATATAGATAATTCTCTGCCGAGGTATAAAGTACCCACAAGGAACTACTTGTGTGGGTTTTCAGACAATTGCATTGAAAAATGTGGCTAAAATCATCAAAATACCGAATACCGTGGGGGTACCGTTATATGGGGGCTATACGATATTGTAGACCTATATAGATAATTCTCTGCCGAGGTATAAAGTACCCACAAGGAACTACTTGTTTGGGTTTTCAGACAATTGCATTGAAAAATGTGGCTAACATCATCAAAATACCGAATATCGGGGGGTACAGTTATATGGGGGATATACGATATCGTGGACCGATATAGCCCATCTTCGAACTTGACCTGCCTGCAGACAAAAGAGAGATCTGTGCAAAATTTTAGCTT